AAAAAAAGATCACCATCAAATGCACTCAAAGTTGAAAATACTTACATTTCCCTTTTACATAAAAGGTTAAAAACTTAGAGCTATGCCCAAGCAGATTTTTGCTTAGCCATGGCTTCAGAGACAAAGAATTCTTGGAACCCATTTTATTAAACAGCATCCTCCAGAAAAAAATAAGCTCTGGAAGTGCATGTTCACACATGCATGTTTAAACGAGGTCAGTCAACAGTGACTATTAGAAAGGGAAGAAATGGGGTAGGGGAAAATAAAAAATTGGACCAAGGTGTGGGCCAAGAACAAAACTTTCTAGAAATTATTTTCTTGCAGATGTATTAGATTGGGACTTCGCATTGGAATGAAACCATAAAGTAATGGGACAGCCACTACCGGCACATTTTACAAGGTTCATTTTAAGATGAGAATTGCTTAAACACAGGCCTACACACCTGCACTGAAAAGCAATTCACTCCCAAACCAAGACGTTTTTGCATCTAGGCCACCTGTCTATGAAGAGGCAGTGTGCTCAGCTAGCCAGACACCCTCAGAGTGAGAACTGGCATTTGGGGGAAGCCAACCAGCCCCCACAGGGCTTTACCTGCAGCACTCGAAAGGCACACCTTCTGTTCTGGTAGAAGCCCAGCAATGTTAGCGCACTCCACAGCTTGACAAGGCCACTAAGTAAAAAGAAAACAAAACATATTAATAAAATCCGTTTTCTCAGTTTTCCTGCAGCATAAACATCTTAAATAAAAACACGTTACAGGAAGAGTAACAAAACCTTAACCGAGTTTAACAGCAGGTAATTGCATCAATAAGTTCTAGTAGTAAGACTGTGCCCTGAAGGGTTATTGCAATGACTGCAGTCTCTTATCCTCGACATCTTGAGGCATGTACTGTAACCTTTTCAAGTTCACTTTACCAGCCCTGTTCTTGTTCCCTCTGTGCGTTTAAGCTCCTTCTTCCCCTAAATCACCTGCAGTTGTCTTCACCATTTAAATCCGGTAACTATTTTCATCTTTACTACAGAAAGAGATTTAAAGTCACATATTTCAGTGGCGCTTAGTTCCTGTCAGGCCATTCTGTTTTAAAGCTGTAATGTACTGATGCATGTAGGTTACCAAACCTTAGTGACTTTTTATTTATCTTCTGCACACTGTATGCAGATGTGTGCAAGTTAGACTTAGCTCTTCAAAGGTCATTCTTAGCTTATGAGTTCTGGGTTTTTTACAAAAAATATTTTCATGGCAAGTATCTGAAGTGTGTACCTACTGTACCTTACCTGCTAACGACCCTTAAGATGGCAGACAGAGTTTTTTCCTCATATGTTAAGACATCAACAGGCAAAGCTGCTCCAACCTATGAGAAAATGTTATTAAATAAGTACCATCCTATGCTCTCACAGTGGTTTATAAGCAAGTGAATCGCTGCCAGCATGTGACACCATTGAAGGCATTAGTTACACTCAAATCACACGAGTGTTTCAGCTACACCACCACCAGATTTTATACAGCACCCTTGGTCTCAGAGGTCTTTATATAAAAGTCACTTTTAGTTCCGCATTACAGCTGGAGAAACAGGGACCCAGCGGTGATGTGCTTAAAGGTCACCCAGCAATGCCGTAAACACAGCAAGAAGGGTACTGTGAACTTCCCCATCCAAGAAGCTGTTACCTTCCCGTAGTTCTCCTTTTAAAACCTCACTACAGTGAAAGCATCAATACCCCAAATTCCAAAAGCCAGGTACGCCGGAGCCACTTGACTATCGACGCCGAGACAAAATGCACAGCCCCAGCTTCGTCAGGAGCAAGCTACGAGGTGGGCTGGAGGGCGGCTAACAGGT